TTAAAAATTCGTGCATGTTTGCAGTCCCGCTTTAATTTTTCAATAAATATTCAACAAGTATTGAAGAAGCTTTTTTAACAGCCTTTAAAACAAAACATTTATTTTTATAAATTTTGAATTACAAGAATACTAGTAATGATGATATAATTAACACTAACATTATTGATAACGACAGGTTTAATAATTGTACTGAAAGTGTTATTTTTATCAATGAATATTGAGTTATTGATTACTAGGAGACAATGAATGAGAAGATTACTCTGAAGTCCTGACTAGAAATAACACTTTAAATCATCGAATTAGTTTTCATACTTTATTTTTAAATTTAATGTACATTTAACGACAAATATTTTTTAAACCTCAGTTATCACTTACGTTATTGATTTTTATGCCTTTACTTAAACAAATTGTTGAATTCAAATCCAAGAATTAGAAGCTCTTAGCTCTTACAAAAAACTGTGCTGTTATAAAATGAAATTGTGAAACAAAAGTATGTATCAAAATATATTGCGTGAGAATAATGATCAATATGAGAGCCGTAATAACTAGGTATTGTATTTTCTTATTCGCATTGGAATAATAAAGGGCTTGAAAGTAAATGGATATATAAATATTATAGTGGATCTGCATTGACGATTTCGTTTCTGAGAATTAGGGACATGTAGAATATCGGTTTCGTGATTGGAATGAGATATGTTGAAGATAAGGTTGCACACCATGACTAAGAATTCTCAAATGGCAAAATGTGGCATTCAGTCCACTCACAACAACACTGGAAATTGTGCTCATTTTAATAAATTTGGCTTGAATTAGTTTTTATCTACTTCTGATTGGATATTTTTGAAGACAGTTTGTGTAATATTGTAATATTATTTTACTTTTTTATTTCATCAGAATAACATGCATTTTTGCATGCTTTATAATAATATTTTTCATTGAGCAAATAAAAAAATAAGTAAAATATTACTTTCCATCGCTAAAACCAACGCATGAAAGAAGATCAGATCCTGTAGGTATTAGTTCAGTCCACAAGCATCCTGAAATCGATGAAACGATATTTGGTAATATGCTACATAGAAGTCGTTTAACTACCAAAATTTGAGTCATGTAAAGGATAAAGAAAACTCTAAATCTTAGCAATTTCAACATTATTTGAAGAATTCTATGATTTAAAATTTTGTAGCTATATTTTTCTTCAATAAAAAGAGTTCTTTACAAAGAAATTTACTTCCGTCATCCATATTCCACAGTTTTACCGTACAGTCAGCAGATACACTCAGTAAAATTCGTTTCCATATTATTTGTTGAGGGAAAAAAATTGCACAGTTTACAGACTCCTCATGACCCAAATACTCACGAACTATTTTTTGCTGCCGTAAATCCCATAGCTAAAATACTTGATGCATTTTTCTAGTATGGAACATGCTGATTTCATTACTAATCCAATAAAAACTTCGTAATATCTGCCCTTGCTATGTACGAAAACTGAATCGTAATTCAAATCTTCAAGAATTAAGAAATCGAGGTATAGTTTTTCATTTTGGAAATTAATTCATAATGCAATAAATTTTACCGTGATTTCACACCCATCTGAGTTGAAACCATTACTAGATGTGATACAGTAATTACCATCTGGTAAAAGGTCACAGTGCGTAAGAATATGTTTTTTTTTCGGGAACTGAATTGCAAGACATAGATTTCGACTGTCCCATATTCTGAAAGAGTTTGGACTTCGAATAAGACAATGAACTTTCATCTGTCAAATTGATAAATATGAAAATTTTCTTGGGGATCTTTTAAAAGCAATGATATGATGATCTTGCACAAATTTCATAGCAATATCTGAGAAAAAGTAATGATCGTGCCAAAATTACTCCATATTTACTTCAGTTGTTTGTCTTCTGATGATTGTGCAAATAAATTATGAGTGTCGCATTGCGAAATATGAGTAACCTGAAATTGTCAGTCTTTAATTGGTTTTAGTGGTGAAAGTCAGTCTTCAAATTTATAATTCATTTGAAACAAGCAACTTCAATATTGTAATAAGTGCTAAACTTTGCTCGCCATACGTTTAATTTTGACAATTTCACATACTTCAATAACTACTGCTAATCAGAAGTTATTGTGATTACGAATCAAGAAAGTGAAATCAATATTTAAATGATAGCATCGTGCATAAAATTTTTTGGTTATGTTCCACAAATTTCGCTTGAAATGCTATTTGTCATGATGCCATAGCTGATAAAATATGGTTCTGCTGTCAAAACGCAAAACTAAAGAATTGAAATGAATACCAAATTTCTAGGATATTGAACGATACGCAAGCACGAACCAGTTTCAAGATCCCATAATCGTAAGGTGGTATCACGTGCTCCTGATATACACTTCATTTCTGAAAAGAATTTGCTTTGATTTACTGAACTTTGCCATTAATCATGGAAAATTCTTTTTAACATACCATTAAGTATAGCCAAGCCAGTAATACTCATCTCATGGCCAAGGAAAATGCGTCTTGAGTTAGGACAGTTGAACTGCCACAGTCTAAGTTGTGAGTCCCGTGAGCCACTCAAAAGTAAGTGATTTGATGATGTCCTTTCGAACGCTAACTGTAATTTTGCTATTATTTCATTCAGTTGTTGATCTTACTTTGATTATGATTTTACATTCAACTTTCAATCCCCAATAATTATGAATTATCCAAAATTACTAGCTGAAGGTATGAAATATTGATTTATAATTATTTGGATGACATTATATTTCAGCATTTCTTCTTTTGTTTAGTTGTAAGTAATCATATTTTAACAAGTACATCAGCTAATTACAGAAATTGAAAAATTAGAAAATGCCTTTTTTTTAATATAAGTTGTTGCGTATGTAGTAACTTCTTACTAAATTAATATTTGTACCATCCTTTTGTATACATAAATGTTTTGGTTTATAACAGAATAAACTGATTTATTTTAATTAAATAAAACTATACGTTTTATTAAGTAGGAGAAACACTACTGTAATTTGAACTATAATCAATTACTAAAAATTACAAGACTTTTTTCTTCTCGAAAATTGTAAAATCGTGCGAAAATTTTGCCAATTGTTTCAAATATTAAAGATTTTGATTTTCAGTTTTGGGAAATGAATGTCTTTATGTAACTTGACATCGAATAATGATTGCATAACTTCAGTGGCTCTCATCTTAAATTCTTAAATTCATTGCTTTTGAACAAAATAAAACTACCTTAGTGACTTCTTTTTTGTGACCGTACCACCGTAAAACGCATTCACCTGTATCTGTATTATTTAGTGCTATCAACTGTAATACATAACATTTCATTTTATCTTTTTGTAGTGAACTATAAGAGGACAACAATTTGAATTTAATAATAAATAATGAAGGTTTTAAAAATGCACTAGAACAAACTTTATCACGTCCTCCACTGAGAACCATTCCTGATCGCACTGGAGCTAGTGCTCCAATAGCGTCGGTGTGAGTGGGAGTACGAATGATTAAGTGTTTCTCTTTCCCGTGAGATATGCTTCTAGGCCTGAATTAAATCTTGAGAATACAAAATAACTTATAAATGTGGACTTTACACATAAACTACTATTCACTCATAAGTGAGAAACTTGCTTCGCTAAGATTTACAGATATGAATATGTTAGAAATAGGATATACATTCGCATATATGACGATTGGTCAGGTAATAAAGTTAATCTCTTCGTCCACTTCTGTAGTTTCGATATATTTGGTGAAGATGAAGGAAAAGACTCAAATGGGTCTTGAGTTTGCAGATGCGTGTAACTATTACCCATAGTGAAGCACAAAGATTGTAGTTATTCAAGTAGCAGAGTAGTAGTGAAAAAATCGTATGACATCGTGAAATTTATTTCATTACTCGCTGAAATCAGAAAAAAAAATGAATACAAACATTGCATTAAATATATGTCCAGAGATTTTGTGTAGCCTAAATGCTTGTTTCATTCCCGCTTTTCAAACGATTTTCGGTGTTTTCGGTATAAAATATAAAGTATTTGCTTTCCTTAATAAAAAATGGAAAAATGCTGTACAGGCCTTGATATTGTGGTTGTACATGAGAATCAAATTCAACAAAAAATCTAGCAGCAGTTCCTACTTGAAACTTTTTTTGCAAATAATCTACGTGCACCCAATTTTTTATTATTTTTACAATTGAACATGACTTTGAACTCTTGAAATCATATGCACGTTAATGTGTCTCTTGTGTTCTTATAAATAGGCTTGCATTATAGTAAATTTGCATCTTTGACTGCCAGCAAAAGAAGCACTTTCACTGTAATTTGAAAGCTAAAGCTGATATTTGAAAGAAAATATGAGAATTAAGTAAAACACTATATATAACTACCGTGAGAAAAAAATGATTCAATTTATGTCAATGAACAAAGAATTTTTAAGAAGCAGTTCACGTCCCCTATAATTACCATTGTATTACAAACTGCTTCCCTTTTATGGGTTTTTTTAACAATTGTAGATAATACTCTATAAGTTACGTAATGGAAGCGAAATATGAAAATAATCAAAAATAACTTCTGACTGTCAAGATACCAGTTGAAAAAACTCGGTTTCAATCCAAAAAGCATGGCACATGAATTCTTCATAATAGCATTTTATCATTTTCCATTGGGTGAATTTTGGTAGTATAATAATGATAATGACAATAATAATAATTATTATTATTATTATTGTTATATAATAATGATAATAATACTTCAAATCATGTGTAAAGATCTTTTAAAATTTCATTTCTATCGTTATTTATTCATCATTATTGATATTATAACTCACTATACGACATTTTTATTAATATCACGGTTAATCATATTATACTTACATTTTCACGATTATTAGTATGTTCTGATTATAACTGTTGTAAATAGTCTATATATTCGCAGAAAAATTTGTATCATCGTATTATAATTTTTTGCTTCACCGAAGAAACTTTGTGATCTTAGAATTTATGACTGCAAAAAGATAATAGTAAGAATATGAAGAATTATAATAAAATTAAAAAACAGTAATGATGTCTATTGTAATGACAATAATGCCAGCAACATCGAAAATATTGTTAGGTATGAAATTCGGTAATGTAAATAAAACACTAAATTAAATTTTTCACTGAATTTTGTGCTAATTTGTTTCTAAAAACTTTACAATCAGAAAGTTCTCGTTCATTAAAGGTCATACTAAAATAAATATCTAGGTTTGTTTTTAATAAAATTGCCATTCTAATGAAAAGAAAAGAACTTTTGAACTAATTTATGTTTGAAGAGTTCACTTTTCTTTCTATAACACGAATTTAAGCAAAAACGAAAAAGTTTGTCAGTTATAAAAGATGATATTAGATGGAGGATGGATTGATACGCACCTATTTACAGAAAGTTGGTTGCTATGGAAATAATAGACAACTTTCTTTGCAAGCAAACAAGTAAACGTTTGGTTGTAGTGCTGGGAATCGATGGTGAATTAAACGGGGAAAAGTATTTTGAAAATGTGTTGGAAATATTTTGTTATATTTAAAATTTAGTATTTTTGAGAATATAAATGAATGATGGAATCTGTACATAAAGCTAAGTATATTTCTACTTTTTTCAGTCAACAAAAGATGATTCTGTTGATTCTCTAATGTCGCGCAAGGAAAAGAGGCCAAAAGCTATTTCGTGAATCATTTCGTAGACTAACGCAGTTCCAAAATTAAGGAATAGATAAATTTTTAATTTTCAGAATCGCCGGTTGTCATGAGTTGTCGTAGCTATAAGATATAAATAAAAACAATTTAATTTTCATTTCTCCTGCACTAACAAAAATAAAATAAGTTAATTAGCAGAGTCAAGTACACTACTAACCTAATCATAGCCACATTGAAAAAATTTTCAAAAAAATTATTTTTCAATATCAGTTTTCGCACATTTTCATGTTTATATCATTTAAAAATAAAAATAAAAAGTGGTTTTATTTTACATTTTTTAGGAAAAATTTTTCCTCTAATTTTTTAGAGTATTAAAACAAGCGACGTTTAGAGGCATCAGTGCCAGAGGTTACTTTTAAAATGAAACCATTTAGGACATTATCGCAGCATAGACTTATTAGCAAGGAATATCTTTTGTCTTAACGGTAGTAAATCACGTTGAATAACGGCTTTGACAAGCATCTTTTACCACAATGAGTTTTGAGTAATTTTGTTACCAAATTATTTCAAAATTTTTTAATGCATTTTTTTCAAACCATGTGGTAAAATGCTGCAGAGTAATTTTAAAAGTAAGCGACAAAATGGTTTTCTGACTCAGCTTTATGATTTATGAATGCTAGCTTCTGTAATTTATCAATGATTACGTATTCAAAATAGCGTAAGGCGATGTGAAGTGAGCATTAATATTTTTAAAACTCCTAAAATGTTTGTGTTTGTTCAAAAAAGTTACAGAAAATTGCTGCAAAATGAATTCTGTAAAGTCTGAGAGCTACTTTGACAAGCTTCAAAAACTCTATGATCCCAGCAAGTTATTTTACAAAAATAACTTGATTCACAATGCATGAAACCAGCAATCATAGATGCAAAATAAATTATTAAACAATGTGAAATGCATCAATTTAATAGATTTTTTCTAGCAGTTATTCAATTCTCTTATGCTTTTTGAAAGTTTAAAATTCTGTATTTGAATTCCGAACAGAAGAATATCTTTCATTAATATAACCATGGTTTTTATTTTGGCAAAATGTCAGTAAATCGATTCTGACTCTTATAAGCATTAGATATAAATGAATTCATCACATAAAGTTTCTCATAAATGACGAATAATGATATACTTTTCTAATTAATTTTTTTTGGTGTCCAGATTTAGTTTTAAAACAGAACTTATCAAGAAGAATGCAAGGACAGAATCGTTTTCAATGTACTAATTTTTTATCACTATTTTTTTATCAAATCTGTTGCTAGTAAATAAATTTGAAAAATACTGGAATGATGTATAATCGGCATTCCAACAAAAAGTCTGTTCAGTCAAAAAAACTAATTTAAATTAACAAAATTTTTTTAAATCTATCAAATTCAATGATTGATTTCGCATTTTTCAAATTCGCATTTGAAGACAAAACATTAATCAAAATAAGTTCGAATTTTTCGATTCGATTTTTGCATTTTCTTTTGATAGGCTTTCAAAACTAAAACTATATTATTCCTAAGAGTCAAATCATGCATAACAATTTTTGAAATTATTTATTTCACTGTTTTTTTTTCAAGCACTTTGGGCAAAATTTTCGTTTGCAATTGCTTTCATGCAATGAAGTTCACTCACAGTTTTGCTTTCTGCAATTTTCTGAGCAGCAAAACTTACAGTATTCACTCAATATTTTGAAGGAAAAAAACAATTGCTTAATTCATTGCCATATTTTCAAAGTTATCAAAAAAGTGATGGAGAACCTAATAATTTTAGTCCAAAAATAGAAAAATTTGTTAGTGTAGGCAGAACTGTAGCAAAGTATTGACAGCGGAAAATTACGGTATAAAAAACTTTTCTCTCGTACTCCAATCCTCTCTTATTCTTTTCCTCTTTTCATCCATTCATCGTCGATCTTTGGCTGATCATTGTAATCATGATATACTGATTAAAAGTTACGGTGATGTTGATGAAAATTGATAAATAAAAACTTCAAGATTTCTCACCTTAACGTTGATAAACAGCAATGCATCCTTCTTTTGAAATTACGCAAGTTCTTTCGAATTTGTGTTCGTTTTTATAGAACAAGCAGCAAATAGAACGTAATTAATTTCAAGCTTCAGTTAATTTTATTACCCAGATTAAACTGATTTGCGTGGTTTCAGTTACCAATATCACGGTTTACCAGTAGTTAAGAATGCAGTCTTCAGCATTTTTATGACTAGGAAATTCAAAATTTACCGTAACAAACTATGTGTTCTTATTATTGATCTCTAACAATAGCAAGTGTTATTATTACTGTGGTGACAGTATTAACATCAGATAAATATGTTTTTTCTTTGCATTTATGACGGTCGCAAATAAATTTCGAACAGTATCTTAATTACTCATTATTTACTCCAAAAAAATTGGTTTTGCATACTTTATTAACTAAAAAAAAGTTCTAAAAAGATTAAATTAGGAAGGTCTGATTTTTTTAAACCAATTTCTTTACAGAACAAATTTCGTTGTTGTTTTCATATAAATACAACAGTAATCAGCAAGAGATAATCTGCAAAAAGTAATTGTCAATATTTAATTTGAATAAACTGTCGTTAATTTGCAAAGCAGTTGTACAGATTGAATATCTAGTTGTACAGATTAGCAAAGCAAGATCTGAATATTTAATTTACATTAGAGTCATTAAGATGTTATTTTTTTAATAAAGGCGTTTGACTCAGTTTTTATTTGTGACAGCTGCTTTTGATGCAATTTATTCCTGATTAAAAGTTCCGTGGTGAATGTATTTCAGGATACCTTTTTTTTCCGCCGTGAGATTCTGAAAAATTTATAAGCATCGAAAATTGATTCCATGACTTTTTAATTCTTAGCGCATGACAAAATTTTCACATGTAATCGTCCTTGAGCCTCACATGATACCACCGTTTACACCATTATCACAGAACATTATTCAATACTTATCGAGAAATATTGTCATTTATAGTTGGGACTCAAAAATTACAATGAACAACCTTGAAATAAATGCTGCCCAGTTATTGGGTTTCCATATTATTTTCGACTCAGTCTTGCAAATTGTGAATGATCTGTTGTAATGAGGAGCTTAGAAAAATAGCAGTGTAGTTCAT